AAATAGTGTGATTTGTTGTCTCTTTACACATTTTGTAGATAGGTAAGAACAAAAAATTTACCCACAAGACGTTTTATCCACAAAACAAAATACTTCTATTTAAAAAAACCTTTAAACAACAATAGGAACATTTATAGTGCACTATTAATGAACCAAAAAATGCAAGTTCCCAATACCTAAGAACTTCCATTGCAACTTGTTGTAATAATTGCCTTAAAATGTTTACGGTACGACTTACTGAAGATAAAATACAAACAAGGATTCACAAAAGAATTAAGATAAAGCAATATCATGGTCACTTGATGCCACAGGTTGGGCAAAATCTGCAGTGGAACAACAAGAAATTCTATAACAATAAACGGCGTCCAGCACACATTGAACATGATATAGATAATGAACACCTGGGAAATAAGCTTGATTTCATCTCCGCTTACAGTATTTTCTGTTTGCTGATTGCCTGAATTGTAATGAGTGTGGATTCTCTTCCTACTGTTACGGACTTTCACAGTGATCAGGGAGTAGCAGGTGAGAATGGCAAGCTGAATCATGAAGTAGAACACCATTACAGTGTAGGAGACATGAGTCAGTTTCCCTGGGGGCAACCTGAGGAGACATTGGTACACACGAGGACTGTACGTGTAAAACGTATCCTCATACACACCCAATGCAGGCATCACCTGGCTGAATGTCATAAAGGTCCATATTCCAAGAATAATAGCACCATTTTTCCAGCCTTTGAATACTCTTGGAGCTATCTTGGCATCAACGATTACACAGTATCTGTTGATGGCGATCACCATGATCTGAACGAGGCTCACCGTTGACGTGGTGCTCAACGCTATGGCAACCAGGTTACAAATATCTTGACCAAAGAGCCATTCATTTCGAATCATTGAGGTCACTATGGTGGGAGTTCCGATCAGCAACAGGAGGAGATCGGCAATTGCCAAGTTGGCAATGAAGAGATGGGTAGACTGCTTCCGTAGTTCTTTAACTTTGGCAATTGTCACCAGTGTAATGAGATTGCCCATTGTCCCTGCCAGTGCTATTATGATGATCACAATAGATACTACAATCCTCTCATGGAGCGGCTGGTCAGATTTCAGGTGAGAACTGCTGTCATTGGTCAAGGCAGCATTGGACACATTGGTCTGCAGTCCTTGGTCTGTGCCAAGGTGCAAACTAACCAAGGTCATCTTGGGATTCTGTTCAGAATTCCAGTTAAGAAGTATATGACTGTCTGTGCAATAAAAGGCAACTTCTCTCTGACAAGATGACACTTGTGACACTTGGAAAAGTCATTGTGTTTGTAACTGTGTGACTGTCTTTTGTACAAGAGGCAAACAATGTGAGGCTTTGATTCACTGACCTTTAAAAGGCCATTACCATGGGAATACCATGGTTTCTTTTATTCTCTGTTCAAGGTATACCGAGTTGCTGGTTGTTTCTGACATTATTGTTATTATAATGTTTAGTTATCATTACTGCCTCTTTCACTTTACATTTTGATGTTCCTAGTTTTGGCTTACCCAATGGTGCCTTTCCAAGTTTGGTTTTGTTTTGCTAGCTGTTTCATCTAACTGTAATTGTTAAACACATTGAAAATAGAGTTCATTAATTACCTGATCTTTTCATTGAGAAAAAAATTGCTAATTTTTCTAAATACATAGTTTTAGAATCATTAACGATATAATTTTGTGTAGCATTTCTGATTTTATTTTTCTGTGTAGAATAGAACTAAAGTAGCCTGCTTTTCATTTATGTTGCTATCACTCAATACAAATGCTCTTATTTTTAAATATTATGACTTTAAAATTATAGTATCTGTAAAATTCACAATTTCCCCCCATTAAAAAGCTCAAGTTATTACCGTACTCACATGGTACTGCTCCACTGGATGGGGTTTCCTTCAGGACAAAAGGTACCTTTCTTACTCATTACATTGTTTCTTCAATCTGTAAACCGTTCTTGGTTTGGTCTTTTCTTTACGTGAAGTCAAAGTATATTGTTGAAATTGGCTCTTGGTACAATTTCTAACACACTGCTTTACTTCAGTACAGTTGTCACTGCTTTCTACTGGATTTTCTGTAGTTGCTGTTGACTCATTGGGAGCTGCCTCAAGTTTGACACCAGTTTCTTTGAACTGTGGATGTCTTTGGTTCCTAGAATGTCATAACTGTCATTAGCACAGTGACATCATTTCCTCATGGTACATTAGGTGATATTTCATGATTACTGAAGCTGGTGTCAGGGTTACTTGTGAAACAGTTCAGGTGCTTCTCTTGTCATGTGGTAAGATGTTATTACGTCTGAAAATGAAGGAAAAAAAATAAAAAAATCAGTGCATATATTTTAAGAGATCCTTTGGTAGTTTTAATCCATAAAGGAGTTAAAACACATACACATGGTATTAGCCCCCATATCTTGTCTATAGATAGACTTCTTTGCACTGATGCCATGTGTTAATTTACTTCTCTAAAGAAGTAAATGTTAATATATCATTTGGTTCAGCATGGTTTAAGCAAACTCTTTATTAAATCCTTACTTCAGGATGTAAGGTGTGAAGTGCAATTCACCCATTGACACGTCTGTAATCACAATGCCTGCTCTTCATTGCTGACTTCTTAATTCTGGGATTATTGGATGATGCAATCTAGTGCTCTGTTGTTTCTCCGCCTTTAGTCTGAGCCCAATTTTGTCGAAACTGATTTGCTTTGCTTGAATCCCCTATTGCAATTAGACACTCCAAAATGAGTTCTGATGATATTTTCCCACTTTCAGACTTAATACACTGCTTATCATTATCGCTTTCATAGAAAGACCTGAAACTGATGTTAATATTGAATTTCAACACAATCGATACTTCAGATGATTTCCCCGGCCAATTGGTTTAGATTCCATGTTTTCTTTCAAATCACCAGGTAATAGTTATAGATGAGATCATTTGTCAGATGCTTCAGTTGCTATCTGCTGTAACAATTAGAACAGTAAATCTGATATTGATCTTACAAGTGAACTCCACTCCAAATATACTTGTTACGCTTGATATCATCTCTGCCAGTGTTAGCTAGTTAGCTGAATAATGCATAGACTTAATCTGTAATATTGCCTCACAAGCATACACGGAATATTGAATTCCTTGGTTTACATTCACCGTCTGATGAACACCATGAAGCTTGTCAATGGGTCGTACAAAGTTATTTTACTGACAACGAGCAGTGAGGCGCTACGGATTAGATTGATGGC